TTTTCAAGAACAATTCAAGAATAATTAAGTTTTAGAATAGAAGGGCAAAATATGTTGGTCAAAGGGCCCGTTCCTGTGCTGTACTGTTCTTTGTTCTTTGTTTGTTTAGTTAAAAGACTGATCCTGATTTGTTTTCCTTTTATCTTTTTGCACTCAAAGAACAAAGGACAAAGAAAATTACAGCACAGGAACAGGCCCTTCGGCCCCTCCAAGCCTGCGCCGATCCAGATCCTCTATCTAAACCTATTACCTATTTTCCAAGGATCTGTATCCCTCTGCTCCCTGCCCATTCATGTATCTGTCTAGATACATCTTAAATGACGCTATCGTGCCCGCCTCTACCACCTCTGCTGGCAACGTGTTCCAGGCACCCACCACCCTCTGCGTAAAGAACTTTCCACGCATATCTCCCTTAAACTTTTCCCCTCTCACCCTGAAATCGTGACCCCTAGTAATTGAGTCCCCCACTCTGGGAAAAAGCTTCTTGCTACCCACCCTGTCTATACCTCTCATGATTTTGTAGACCTCAATCAGGTCCCCCCTCAACCTCCGTCTTTCTAATGTAAATAATCCTAATCTACTCAACCTCTCTTCATAGCTAGCACCCTCCATACCAGACAACATCCTGGTGAACCTCCTCTGCACCCTCTCCAAAGCATCCACATCCTTTTGGTAATGTGGCGACCAGAACTGTACGCAGTATTCCAAATGTGGTCGAACCAAAGTCCTATACAACTGTAACATGACCTGTCAACTCTTGTACTCAATACTCCGTCCAATGAATGAAAGCATGCCGTATGCCTTCTTGACCACTCTATCGACCCGCGTTGCCACCTTCAGAGTAAAATGGACCTGAACACCCAGATCTCTCTGTGCATCAATTTTCCCCAGGGCTTTTCCATTTACCACATAGTTCGCTCTTGAATTGGATCTTCCAAAATGCATCACCTCGCATTTGCCTGGATTGAACTCCATCTGCCATTTCTCCGCCCAACTCTCCAATCTATCTATATTCTGCTGCATTCTCCGACAGTTCCCTTCACTATCTGCTACTCTGCCAATCTTGGTGTCATCTGCAAACTTGCTAATCAGACCATCTATACCTTCCACCAGATCATTTATGTATATCACAAACACTCATTTCTTATTTGTAATCTTTGTGGATTTCTGTTATGTTAATATCACTTCTCAGTTTAGTAACGAATAAACTCACTTTGTTAATTCAAGAAACCCTGGTTAAATAGCCTCCTTTAAAAACATAAATTCACTTGGTTCTGGGACCAAGGTATTCATGAAGGAAGGAATTATTTTTAAATTAACTTTTTTTAAACTAACCAGGTGGGGAGTGGAAAAATAAAGATGGGCACTCAGTTCTCCCCTCCTTTACATGTACCTGTTCATTCATCAGTGAATCTAAATAAGGTTACTAAGTGAAGATGGATCAATTACATCACTCACAAAGTCTACCTATATAACCCATCGATTAATGCCACAAAAGTCTGAATGAATTTTAGTAAATATGAAGTGGGTGGTTTTGAGTGTTACTGGAGCTGCACTCATCCAGGCAAGTGGAAAGTATGAAGGGAAGTTAATGTTATAGATTAAAATTTTTCCTAATTCACTTATTCAGCTTTAGCACCTAACCATCGTATCCAGCAACAGCATGATTAGACCAGGGTCCAACCTCGTGTTTACCAGAACCAGAAACTGAACTGGACATCCATATCAGTACAATGGCTACAAGACCAAGTCAGAGGTTATGAATCCTACAGCAAATATCTCACCTCCTGACTCCCTAAAACCTGCCCACAATGCACAATTACTGACATGGCTGGGAAATTGGTTGAGTGGCAGGTGGCAGAAAGTAGGAATAATGGGAAGGTGGCCAAAATGGCAGGATGAGACCTATGCTTACCCACAAGGATCTGTGTCAGGGCCTCAGTTGTTCACATTACTTATTCACAACTTGGACAATGGCATAGAAAATCAGATATCCAAATGTGCTGATGGGACAAAGTTAGGTGGCAATGTAGACAGTGTAGATGATAGCATAAAATTACATAGGAATATTGATAGATGAAATGGATAAAACTGCGGAAAATGGAGTCCAATGGAAGCAAGTGTGAGGTTATCCTTTTTGGACCAGAAACAGTTAGATCAGGGGACTTTCTAGATGGTATGAAGTTAAATATAATGGATGTCCCAAGAGACATAGAGTCATAAAGCTGTACAGCATGGAAACAGACCCTTCGATCTAAGTCGTCCTTGCCGACCAGATATCCTAAATTAATCTAGTCCCATTTGCCAGCATTTGGCCCATATCCCTCTAAACCCTTCCTATTCATGTACCCATCCAGGAGCCTTTTAAATGTTGTTATTGTACAAGCCTCCACCACTTCATCTGGCAGCTGATTCTGAACACGCACCACCCTCTGCATGAAAAAGTTGCCCCTCAGGTCCCCTTTTCCCTAAATCTTTCCCCTCTCACCTTAAAGCTATGCCCACTAGTTTTGGACTCCCCTATCCCCGGGAAAAGACCTTGTCTATTTACCCTATCCATGCCCCTCATGATTTTATAAACCTCAATAAGGTCACCTCTCAGCCTCGGACGCTCAGGGAAAATAGCCCCAGCCTATTCAGCTTCTCCCTATAGCTGAAACCCTCCAGCCTTGGTGACACCCTTGTAAATCTTTTCTGCACCATTTCAAGTTTCACAACAGCTTTCCTATAGCAGAGTGATCAGAATTGAATGTAATATTCCAAAAGTGGCCTCAAAAATGTCCTCAAAGTGCAGAGATCTTTAAAACAGCACCAACAGGTGCAGAAAATAATCAAGGAAGCTAATGGACTGATGGCCTTTATATTTAGAGGCCTGGAGTATATGGATGCAGATGTTATGCTGTAGTTGTACAAAACCCTGGTTAGACTCCACTTGGAGCACTGGGCACCACACCTTAGGAAGGATTGGTTGGCCTTGGAGGGAGTAAAACGTAGGTTTATAAGAATAATACCAGGGCTTCCAGAGTTGGGTTATGAGGAGCGATTATACAAATTGAGCCTGTTTTCTCTAAAGTTCGGAATGTCATCTGATTGAAGCCTTCAAAATTTTTTATTCGTTCACAGAATGAGGATGTCACTGGCTAGGCTAGTATTTTTGTCCAGAGGGAATTAGGAGTCAACCACATTGTTGCGGGTCTGGAGTCACATGTAGGTAAGGATGGCAGTTTCCTTCCCTGAAGGACATTAGTGAACCAGATGGGTTTTTCGCCTGACAATTGGCAGGGTCTTCATCTGGACCCTTCATTCCAGATTTTTAATTGAATTCAAAAGCCACCATCTGCAATGGCAGGATTCGAACCCAGGTCCACCGAATGTTACTGGGCTCTCTGGATTAACAGACCATCATCTGCCCCTGCATATATTAACAGGAAACAACAGGGTAGATGAATGTAAGCTATTTCTTCTTCTTGGAGATTCTAGAACTCGGGGCAGAGTCTTAGAATGAGGGTCAGCCCATTCAGGAGAGATGTTAGGAAGCACTTCGACACTTAAAGGGTGGTAGAGACTTGGAATTCTCTTCCACAAACAGTAGTTGATGCAGGATCAGTTATTCATTTTTAAATCTTACTTAGCCTTTTTATGAAGCAGAAGTATTAAGGGATATGGTCCAAAGGCAGGTAAATGGAGTTAAGCCACAGATCAGCCAATATCCCATTGAATGGTGGAACAGGCTCGAGGGCCTGAATGGCCTACTCCCGTTTGATGTTCTTATAAGTCAGGAGTGTGATGGAATACTCTCCACTTGCCTGAATGAGTGCAGCTCCATTAACACTCAAAACCACCCAAGAGAAAGCAGCTCCCTTTATTGGAATCCCATCCATCACCTTCAACATCCACTCCCTCCACCACCGATGCTCAGTAGCAGCAGTGTGTACTATCTACAAGATGCCCTGCAGAAATTCACCAAAGATCTTCAGACAGCACCTTCCAAACACACAACCACTTCCATCTAGAAGGACAAGGGCAGCAGATACATGGGAACACCACCACCTCCAAGTTTCCCTTCAAACCACGCACCATCCTGACTTGGAAATATATCGCCGTTCCTTCATTGTTGCTCAGTCAAAATCCTGGAATTCCCTCCCTAATGTTATTGTGGGTCAACCTAAATTAAATGGACTACAGTTCACCACCACCTTCTAAGGGCAATTAGGGATGGGCAATAAATGCTGATCCATCCAGCGACACCCACCCGTTCTGAATGGATTTTAAAGAAAAGAGAAATTAGTTCCTGTGAGTTTGCATAAGTTCAGCCTATGAATTAGGGTGACATTTATTTTAAACCCCACATCAGCCTACCCATGACCTCTTTAAATGATGGCATGTTCAGTGGTTCAGTTTGGAGAATTTTTGCCTCTTAGTTGTATGGTTCAGTCAAGCTTGGCTACTTTATTTGCGCTGAGTCTTCAGTGTCGTACTGAGGAGGCATAGTAGGATACGCCATCTTTCAGACCAAGTGTTAAATGGAAGTTCTATCTACCTTCAGGTTGATGTAGAAGACCCAGGGACATCACTTGGAAGAAGAAGAGGGAAATTGTAATTGGTGACCGAGCCAATATTAATCCTTCAACTAACATTGGCCCTCTGGGACAATACTGAGGGAGTGCTGCGTTGTAGGAGATGCCGTCTATCAGACAGATGTTAAATGGTCCTGCAGCATTATAGTGAAGCACTCTCCAGAATTTGTTCCTCAATTGATATCGCAGTGAGTTTGTTCTTGGCTCTCAGCTTTCCTATGTTATGAGAGTCCGCCACACTTCACTGGTTGTAAAGTGCTCTGTGAGGATCTGAGTTTGTGAAAGGCACTCTTTAAGTGAAAACCCATTCTCACCCAGTGTGGAACGGGGTCTTTTTTATTGTGGCCGGGGCTGCCTGGCCAATTGGTGTCACTGGACCTCAACTTCATTCAGCACGCAGAAGCACATCTCATTTGTACTTACCAGTCCACTGGGTGGCCAGCCTCATCCATGCAGGAGATATCAGCCATGCTGGAGCTGAGGTGAATGACTGACAGGAAGAGATGGACAAGGATCGATGTGGCTTCCATATCGGGACTGGCCACCTGATAACCCAACTCCCAAAAAGAGATCTCGCCAAATGCTGATGAGAAAGCTGCCTCTACTAGTCTCGACCTGCTGTTCTGTTACTGAGAAAGCAGAAGTGGCCGTGTGATTAAATTAGTCATCACAGTTTACAGGACATTCTTTACCTCCCTGTGCCTTTTGGGATTTGTGTCGCTTGTCATGTGATTGTGTGCAATTAGACTCATCAGCAAAATACCAACCCGCTGTAAAATCACAGTTGCAGCTCAACCTGTTCCACTGCAGAGGAATAAAAAGGAAAGTGAAAACCTGGAACCACTCAGAGGAAAAGGCTGCAGTGTAAATGACAAAGCCAATTTAGCAGAATCAGGCAGAGCAACTTGTGTCCCACACCAATATCACAGACGCCCTGTTGATTTGTGTGGTGCTTTCTGTTATGAAATTACAGCCTCAAGATTTTCTGGCAGGGGGTTAAACAAAAAACCAGATTCGTGTCAAAATATTTCTGTTCCCCATCTGCACGAGGTATTTGGTACACTGCGTCAGAGCAGCCTTTTGTGAGGAAAGTTGTAGTTCATTGCATAAAAGGGACAGTGGAAACATGGATGCAAAATTTGGCTGGAAACAGATGGCAATAGAGTAGGATGCTCCAGCCAGAAATCTTCTGCTCTGCCCATTCTTTTTCTTCTTTTTCTCCCTCTCCCCTCCCTTCTCTAGGCCTTGGACACCTGGCCCTGGGGTGGGCAGTCGGTGGAGAATCCAGTGACTGGAGAGTAGGGATGCCAATGACCAGCAGCCCAGTGTGGAGCATCACAGCAGCCAGGGGTCAGAGCACGTCGAAGCCCCTTGTGCTGGTCTGCTGTGGAGAGCCTTTGGAGAGAGACTGCAATGTTTGTCTGTTTAACTTTGCTTCTTGTTTTTCTGACCTATGTTTATACTGTGTATAGCTGTAACGTAACTTTTTCTTCTTCATTTCTCTATTCTGTCACTAAGGATTGTAAGTGTAACTGTAAGTGGCGACTTATAAAGTTTTCACTGTATTCATTTGAGTACTTGTGACAATAAAGCTAACTCAATTCAACTCAATTCAACTCAACTCAATTCAACTCAATTCAA